GATCGTGGCTCAAGAGTTGGGTGTTCGTCTTGTAATCGGAAGGTTGCCAGTTTGAGCCCCGGCTCGGACAGTCTCGGTCGTTGTGTCCTTGGGCAAGACACTTCACCTACCGCCTACTGGTGATGGCCAGAGGGGCCGATGGTGCGATATGGCAGCCTCGCCTCTGTCAGCCAGGGCAGCTGTGGCTACAACTGTAGCTTGCCTTCACCAGTGTATGAATGTGAGAGTGAATGAATAGTGGTATTGTAAAGCGCTTTGAGGGGTCCCGAAAAGCGCTATATAAATGCAATCCATCATTACTATCATTATATCACGCCCCCTTCTATTTTTCATGAATGCCAATATACATATACATAAAAAAGCCAAAAAAAGGCCAAATCGTTAGATGACAGTTCAGGTTTTTCTGTCAGAGTTTTTAAGTCGTTGGTTGACTCCTGCCAGTCTAAAGTGTCAAGCTCCATGTTTTTTTGTTAATACCAAAGCTAAAACCATTAACTGTTAGCTAATGTATCGTTTTAGGCTACAGTTTCTAGTTTTTACCTAAATAAAAAGATCTTTAAAAGCATCACGGCAGTTGAAAACATAAAATCAAGAACCAGGGAAACGTTACAACCGAATAGTGTATTTCTAGTTCCACTGATGTCCAGTAAAGTGAATGAGGTCAAGTGATATTCGCTGCTTTCGGTGCTGTATGTTGACAAAACTATTGGTCATACCTCATAATCTTTGAATTCAGGTGTTTTCAGTCCCATTTCTACACCCAACAGATGCCTTTACAAACATCTGTAAAAGAATGGGTCATTCTAAAGAGCTCACTGAAGTCAACAGTGCAGTGGTTAGGCCTGATTTAGACTTGTGCAGAGAATCTTTGAATAGAATATGACGTAACCATATGTAAGTGGGAAACAGGCATTTATGCTCATGCTGGTGCAGTACATGTTAATTACCATATGGTCATGCCCCGGTGTTTTATATGAAGTGCCATCCAACTTGACAAAAATAAAATGCTAGGACTTTTCCCCCTCCTGGGTCTCCATTCTTTGTTGTCGACAGTTTTTCCCAGAGGTAAACATACTCGTCCCTCTAGTTTTTCCACTTCTTTGTACATTCCTTCACGTCCATTCTAACAGTTTAACCAATTTCCCTTTAGGAATTTGTTGACATTTGTGAATCCCTGCATTGATGCTAAGATTGTTATTTCTTATATCGAGACAATGACTCATAAATTCAAACACTGCCAAAAATGCACAGCAGGAATCAATGCCGCTGCTCAGGCCAGTCAAAATAGTTGCAACCTGATGTGTAGTTACATTTCACAGATGCACATCAGGTTAAGTCATTACTAGTGAAACATACGTCAGGTATAACAGTATTCCACCAATGCAACAAGTCAGTTAGTGAAATTTCTTCCCTTCTAGATATTCCAAGATCAACTCTTTAATGGTATAATTGTGACGTGAACCTCACATGAACATCTGTACAAAAACTGTGCACTGGGAGCTTCACTGCATGGGTTTCCATGACTGTGTGCAGAGGTGCACATATGTTTGGTCTGTGCCATAACAGTGCTAAATGCACAATTAAGAATTAGAGCTATAACAGGTAGATTGCTCTACACAAATCCAATGCATCATTAAATTGTACTCAACAACCACGACTGTCACAGCATCCAGGTTTAACAACTTGGCAGAAATCACGCAGTCCCTCCTTTGCTCTTAGCAAAAACGATTTGCTTGCAAGCAGCTGAAGCTACAAATTAAAACCAGACAGCTTCCAGTAGTAAAAATCTGTCCCTTCCCGACAGACGCTCTATATTCATATGCCGATATCTCTTTATAGAGCTTATGATCCGATGTGAACTAATGCCAGCTCATTGGTATTACTTCTGTTGTTTGAAGCCTTTCGTCAGCATTTTACGGCGTTACTGAAGGTTTATATTGTAATACTACAACCAGTAACAAGTCTTATCACTTTCAACTGCAGTCACAAGATTATCAGGTAAGACTCTGCACACAGTTTGCACACGAAGGTCTTGCAGTGGATTTAGGGAGTTCAGATCTCGTGCTGGAGTTCTGCTCAGTTTGTCTCTGTGCTGCTCTGAGTCTGCTCTGTTCCTCCTTTATTCTGGATTTATTCTTCTGCAGTCTCTGGCGTGGTTTGTACAAGGAATGTGGTGAACTGCCAGCCATGCGCTCTTGGACCAGAAAAGCCAGAGGGCCACTTGCCGCCACAACTATTACAGCGCTTCATTCGTACTGAGCCAGTGTAACCTAAAACCCAGCAGAGTCCTCTAACATGAGACTACACGGAGGAGCTCTGATGGCAGTTCAGCTCACTGATGGGGTGTCACAGGAGAACTGTTCAAACACAGGACTTATATGACTTGTATGTGTTTGCGTGTGTCCAAGAAAGAATACCAAAAAGAAATGACAGATTTTTACTTTACAGAGGCAATGCACAAGAAATCAATGAGAGTGAGAGCATCAATTTCAGTGTTTAAAGACAGATTTGCTAAAATGTAAAGTACAGTACAGCACCTATACAGCTGGTGTAGCTGATAAAGAATCAAAGCAATCAAAGTAAAAGTGAAAGAGATGCACAGCATTCCCAGCAAAAAAGGACTCGTTTGACCCAAATGTGTCAGCATCTCAGCCTGGATTTAAAAACATGCCTGCATGCAAATATTACCACAGCGAGCTGCAATATTAAAGCAGCAGGCTGCTAACGTGGCACAGCAGAGCAATACCTTACCAACAGGTTAGCATCTGATCCTGCATGATTCACTATTGGCGAATGAATCTACATTGCGTCCTCCACCTCCAGCAGTCGTCCTGTGGTCAAGTCACAGCCACATCATGAAAGCCACCCCACCCCCCCCCCGCAGTGCCTACTGAGCTATCTGTGCTCCATTTACACCAATTGTCATTCAGATAGGGCAGGGTACTGCTGTTTATGGCTACCCGTGACACACATTAATATGAAAAGCATAATTAAGAGCAATTAGGCTTTTCTAGGGAAGGGGGTTAGCTAGAAACACAGCATGCAAAATCTGTTGTGGCGTTTCATCCAGTAATATTACTTGCATGTATTACTTGTATGTAACAACAGTAAATGTTTAAAATGGGGATAGAAGGAGCTTGAATTAAGAGAGGATTGCGATCACTTGAAAGGGGTAGCTACCATCACCGTTGCTTTTGACTTACAACTTCAAGATAACCCATGAACGAGAGACTCCTACTGATCATGTGCAGCTTATTGTGACTGAATCATACAAAACAAGCCACAAAAAACTACACACATCTGTTGATTAAAAGAAATCTCCGAAGAAATCTTAAAGTTTATATTGAGTTTAAGAGGGGTCAGCAGATATCCATCCTGCACATAAATACCTTAAGGCAAAGTAACCCATTCACAGACCTCAGGAAGCAGGTTCTGCATGGGGAACATGCGAGGACTTGCTGAACGTAAACTAAAAGAGGGGGGGTAAATGCACTGGGGTATATCCAGGCTGCAGAAACTGTTCTGGGGATGGATAATTGTGGGATGTGGACAGAAGAGAGAGGGGTATGCAGGTTCTCTAAGTGCTTACTTGAGAGGGGTGTCATTTTAAACACACACACATACACACACACACTTATCAAAACACATCACCCCCGAGTCACTCAGGGAAGGGAGATTAAAGGAGCGAGGGGATGGCCACATGCTGTGTTATCAGGCTAATGAATGCTTTCTGGTGGCCAAGCAAAGTTTTACATATGAAGAAGGGCAAGTGTGAATAACATGTTTAATCTTAACACGCCAAGAAGTCAGCTCAGGGCAAGAAGTCTTTCTGTTTTTACAAATAACAGCAGCCCACACCGACACTCACCGGAGCTTTTACTTGCCAGAAGGTTACCGTAGTGAGAAGGACGGAGGAAAAAAGACCTGCTTGCTTCTTTAATTCATTCACGGTTAAAGTGAATTATGTTGGAGCTTGATCACACATGGGTGAAAGTAAAAGGGCCAGAGACAGGGGCATCATAATCCTCAAACTTCCTCATATCGGTATTATGGCAAATAACTTTAGGGATGAGCCTTTTCCTCACATATCACAGCTCCATATCCTCCATGTAACATACACCAAGACTGCCATGATTCTGATGGTCTTGAAAGGGGAGATGACCAAAAATGATCAAACTGAATTTTTCCTGCTCAAAACGAGCCTTTGGGGGATGACTGCACAGGTAAGCAGGACTAGTCTATAGTAGTTAAAGCACACCTGTTGCCTTAGTTACCAGGACTCTTTTAGCTCTTTAAGAAAGAAACATTATGGTAAAATGGGTTAAATTAAGCCCAACAAAATACAGATTAAAAACCTTTTTATTTTCTTTTGGTAGAAGGTCAAAATTCTCTACTTGAATGAAAAACATTCATGCATAAGTTTGAGCTCATTAACAGTGGTATCCTTTTTTAAAAATTCAAATCTCCTCTTTCATTGATGCACACATGTTCTCTTTAATCATAGCATATTTAAGTGGTTATATATATATTTATTAGAGGTCACTAAAGAGCCGCATATGGTTATGATCTGTCAGGTTTTAATGTAGTTGTTAAATCTGTGGCTCTTTTATGTCAGCAAAGAAAATGCTGATGGAGAGAGTCATTGCTTGGGTGAGTTATAGCAAATTAATAGCCGGATTTAAGTGGCTCATAGTTTGAGGCTGGGACAGCCAAACTGTCACACACCCATCGGCGTGGGAAGACAGCACAGGTCTCTCTGGAAGATATATAAAAAATAAAGTTATTAAATGACCTTTGAGCCACTTTGTTACAGCTTGGGCTGGTTTTGAGCTACTGTAGCAGCAATAACACAACTTTTATTTAAATCTGCGTCATTTTTTTGGAATAAACGTCACTGATGGAAAATAAAAACGGTGCCTCCTCGTGCAGCTGTCTCCCAGAGCCGCGCGCTCGCAGGCAGCTCGGGTATAAGCAGATACTCAGAGCGGGTCGGTACTCACGCACTGCCTCCTGTTTGGGGTCCAGCTCGGAGCAGGTCTGTTGAAGTTGGCCGATCCTGCCCTGGAGCCCCCGGACCCGCTGGTTGGTGGTTGTGAGCTCGTTTTCCAGCTCCTGGAATATGGAGTAGGCATGTTTGGCCAGGTCCGACAGCTGCCGCAAGGTCCGAGATAGAGCCACATTACTGATGGAGACCAGATCCTCGAAAACCAGACCCTCCTCGTTTGGGACTTGATACCTGCACAGTAACTGGGGTTCCACTATTCTTTTGGCAAATGGCATATTGTTGTGGAGCGGGAAATAAATCCAAGAAAAGTCACCCAGGAGTGAGAAGAAAGTTGCTGTGCCCCCTCGGCCCCCGATCCAGTTTGACTGAACTCAGCTGCTGCTGCCGCTGGTGCCCCCCATCCTTTCATTTGTTAGAGAGGACTGTTGTGCTCCTCGCCGCTGCGCCGGGTCATCTGCTGCCCTAATGCTGGTGTGTTTTTCGCTGTTACGAAGTAAAAGAGGTGGTTTTTAAAAAGAAGCATGTGGGAAGTCCCGGAGTGGAGTTCCGGGGATGAGTGGATCCGGACTCCGCCTGCTTCAACCCTGTAAACACTCCACAGCAAACGCTTCAGATGCATTGGAGGCATAGCAGAACGAACACTACAGAATATTAAAAGAGCAATTAATTAAAAGGCCATATTTTTAAATTATTCTTATTATTCTTCTAAAGTTGTTCTTTTTTAGAAAAAGCATGGATGTTGGTTTTCTTTGCGTTTTGGGGATGCACAGTGAACAGGAACACTTAACTCCCTGCAGTCTGGTGGATTTCCTGCACCAGTTTATGCTATAGCATGAACCTCATGTCTTTGTTTACGTAAAGAAAAACACAGAAATCAGTGACTGGGTAACATTAACTGGACTGTAATGCAGTGAGGCTCTGGGGCATGATGCATTACTTTCAGGGAATGTTATTTGTATAGCCCAGTATCATCTGTAATGGTTCAAAGGTCCTCACAGGCATACAAAATATATTAAAAGCAGGGAAAAGACAAGCAAACAGGCAAACATATATGAAAAATACAAAGTATTACTGAGGAAAATGTGCATCTGCTTTGCATCTAAATCTGATAAAACCTGTGGTTAGTAAAATGTTTTTACAAAAGTGCCACTACTTGCTCAAATTAAATCCATACAGGTTATTTGCAGTTAAAAGTCCTTAACAGATGGCCCATAAGCTGTTAATAAGACAAAAGGAAAATGCAGTCAAATAAAAAAAGAGGAAGGAAAGAGAAAACTAAGTTAAGAAGGTTAACGAAGTGTCTTTAAATGTGTTTGGAAAAAACATCGCGCAAACAGTTGCTTGCTTTAAAGGAAAATATGCTAAACTGGGAGACAAAGAAGGGATTTAATTATTGGGGTAATATATTAAAATGTCAAAGGTCTCACACATGTGCACCTCAGCAGCTACTGAGATTAACTGAAAACAAAAATGTTAGTTATCATTTCCTTAAGATTAGTTAAGAAACTTCTGAATTTATTTCGAGAATTATTTTGAGACAAAGTCCTGATGTCTGACCTCCTCCTTGTTTTTCTTTCTGGCTTTAGGAACCTGCCTCCACCTGCAAAGCATCAGAGGAGGGAAGGACACACATGAAGGAGAGAAGGAGACACTTCATGTCATTGTTTTTATTTTGATTTTAGTTTACCATACAATATTCAGCAGCGGTATCTACGGTTAGGGTTTAATAAAAGCTTTGGCAATATTCAAGTTAAACACATCACATGTATCACGTGTCATAGAGAGGGTGTTTGCTAACTAGATGTTGGGGACATTCAGCGCATTCATGCCAACCATTATGTTTTTTAGCTTTTGAGTTCTTGAGACTGCATTTGAGCTCCAAAGTGGCTGATGTGCAGTCCTCTATGCCATTCAGCTACGTCTCTGACAAGGCAGATGTCTTGGACTGCAGCTTTCTCCTCGCTCTGCTCAGTTCTCCACCTGCTGCATGTCCTGGTTGATGTGGCCCTGCAGCCAGCAGCAGATCTCACCCAACAAGATGTACCGCTGCCAACTGCAGTCCAACACACTGGAGCTGGAATACAATACCAGCCTGATCAGCATGCAGGTAACGAAACAGAAGGTGGGATGGGCTGTGTATCCGAGTGCTAAAAATGATGCATTTGTTTCAATGTTTCACAAGAAGCTCAAACAACACAAACATATTAACACAAAGTAAGTCATGTTGGTTTTTTTTCTTTAGTTCTAGTCTTAAAGTAAATCCAGAGTTTTAAAATCTCTTAAATCTAACTTAAGCTTCAGGAAGTCTGTTGAAAAAAAAGAAGACTTGATTTAGTTTATTTGCTATAGGGATATCCAGCACATTTCCTTCATTCACTCTTGCGCAGTAAAACAACAATAATTCAGCTTTCACGTTGTCATACCCCTGTGTAGGTTAATCTTCACTTTTAACTCTGTTTGCAGACCTGACAGCCTTAGCCGAGCTTCATTCACATTTGCTGAATGAGTGTTTAGTTAAATCCCACCAGCTGACGGGGCCAGAATCGACAGCTCCAAAGCCTTTCCTGTGGCCTAGCTAATGTCCACACCAGAAGTGCAACCTTTGCAAAGCCCAGCCGCGGACAAAGGCGGGACGAGAGAAGCTCCGTATGTCGTCATCTTTGAGTAATGATGCTGGAACAAAAGGCCGAACTTGAACAGACAAAAGCTGGTAATCTTTGTTGTGAGAAGAGTCAGCTTTAACTTGAAGTGAGCAGGGGTGATATGGACACAGTTTACTTACCGTGAACTGAGAAAAACGTGCTCTCCACGTCCACAGATCACAACATTAAAAAGCGCTGACAGGTGGAGTGAGTTATAATATTTTTACAACCTTGGCGTATCTTTTGTGAAGATGTGTTGAACTTCAGCATATAAAAAAGGTGGTGCATACAGCAAGGCCCTGCTCTCTTCCTGATGCATGTTTGGAAATGAGACAGCTTTGAATATTAGACGCATTTCACAGGCACGCTTCCTGTTTTATTTTGGTGTCTTCTGTTGCTCTATTTTTCCCACCTCTGATTTCCTGATTGAATCCTCCTGCGTCTTGTTTCTTGTTTCTCAGTTAGACCTCTGTATACATCCAGTCCTATCTCCTCCTCAGCCTTTTGTTATTCTTTATGTTTTCTGTTCCTTTTTGATATTTTTAAAGTATCAGCCATTGGAGCTGTGGTATCTCACTTAGGTCCTCTGTCAAAGCACACTATCTATGTCTTGATATGCCTTTATTTGGCTTTTAGTGTCATTTTTATGTCATTCATTTATATGGAGATAAAAATGGAGGCCCGGTTAATTCTCTGTGTTGTGTCTGAGAACACAAAATATCAATCCACCTGTAAGAATCATTAATACTAATAAGCACGTGCAGAATAATCAGGCAGCTGCTGTGTAAGTGGGAGACGGTTATTATAAGAGCAGGCTTATACTTAGAGGCACATGGCTGACATACAGTTTCCTCATCACGCTCAGTTGTCATCCTGAAATGCAAACCAAACACTTTTAAATAGTATTTATAGTTGAGTGAGAATGACTCTCTGTTAAGCCAACTGACTTAATGAATGCACACAGTCCTCTCCCGTTGTATAAGATGAAATAAACCTATAGTGTGGATGGAGTGACTGTAAGTTGATGCAGCAGGTACCGACATGCAGGATTGTGCCAAATATTGGTTATGGCGCAGAGGAATTACGAGCGTCTTGTTGTCGTCTGGCATCCTGCGTCTGCTTCCCAGACTGAACTTATTTACTCAGGCTCATTCATTTTCTCAGATGCCTCAAAAACGTTCTGCCTTTTTTCCTTGGATTGAGTATCGGTTTCTCTTTTCTATTCCTTAAAAATGCCCTGGGAATTCAATCATGCAAAAGAATTCAGCGAGTATCCATCTTTTCTTGGTCTCGGTGATAGGCTTAATTTAGTCTTGGAGAAAACTTCACATATTGGAAACAAGTCATAATCAACTACTTACAGGAGAAATTAGAGATGAAATGAGCGACTAAAGCTGGGATCAAACTTGCTTGAGGATTTGCACGTTCCAGAAAATGTGAGGTACTAAATGGGAAACAGCATGGCTGACACGTGACAAGTGCCAAAAACTGCAGTTCTTCTAACGGCCACTTGAGGCAGACTCTGAAGGCAAGCCATTCCCCACAGACTCTGATGTTAGCTGCTGTGAAAATTACACCCTAGTACAAAAACAGTTTGTTTCTCTATAGCTAAATCCTCTTCATAACAACAACATCGAGAGTTTTTCGATATCTTATCCATTTGGATTTTTTAGAGGCTTAAAATGAGGGAGGCGGAGCCACTTTGTCTGACACCTGGGACAGCTGTTAGCTGCAGCCAACAGCTGTCTGCTGGGTGTCTCCTCAGCAAATGCAGTCACTGAGCTGGAGCTGTTGAATGTTTTGCAGACTTTAAAAAAAAAAAATCATACTACCCCAAAACCAGAATTTTTAAATATTCAAAGTGAAAGTAACTATATTTACTCAAATACTGTTTAGTAACACTTTGAGATACTTAGAGTATTTACAATCTCAGGTAAATAATATGCTTTTTTTTTGCATAACAAGTTGAGCAAGTACTTTATAGATTATGTTTAACATGCTAGCACGTGATAATAAATAAATAATAACTATACAGTAGATAAGATTTTAGTTGACTTTATTTTTGATATTTATGTTTTCTAATACTTTATGCATTTACTTAACTAAAACTTTCAATTAAATTATTTTCCTTTTAGCAGCTTATTTATAACATTGTATTTACTAGTACTGAGTACCACCTCTCTAGCAATGTCATTTAGCTACTAAACATATGGCTAAATAGGCAGTCTATATTTCTAGCAAACTACCAAAATGTGACACTTCTTGATCATAAGAAGAACTTGATCATAATTCAAAATCATAACAAATAAAGAAAAATACCACATAAAGTATTATTAGTGGGCTCAGTAGTGTAGGTGAATATGTGAGATGAGAAGTTCTGAATGCCATGAACCAAATGCTCACTAACAAACCAAATGGATGTCTCAGAGAGGCGAGGACTCCAACGACTGAGCTCCA